TGGGTGGCTCAGTTGGTTAAGTGGCCAACTTCAGCTCAGGTCATGATCTCGCAGTCTGTGGGTTCAAGCCCCGTGTCGGGCTCTGTGCTGACAGCTGGGAGCCTGGAGCCTGTTTCAGATTCTGTGTCTTCCTCTCTCTCTGCTCCTCCCCCGCTTGCACTCTGTCTCTCTCTGTCTCTCAAAAATGAATACACATTAAAAAAATAAAATAAAATAAAATAAAAAATTTGCCTCTTGATCGAATCAGCTTCAGTTCAAATAGTCAATCCTATGAATCATGGAATTTCCTGATGATAATCTAAATATTGCAATAAGCCTCCAGAATTGAATTTTTTTTTAAGTTTTAATTATTATTTTGAGAAAGAGAGAGAGTGCGAGCAGGGGAGGGACATAGAGAGAGGGAGAGATAGGATCCCAAGCAGGCTCCACACTCTCAGCATGGAGCTTGATGTGAGACTTGAACTCATGAACCATGAGATCATGACCTGAGCAGAGACCAAGAGTCGTACATTTAACCAAATGAGCCAGACAGGTACTCCCAACATGGAATTTCTTTTTTAAACCTACAATTTACAAATAGAATGTTAAATTGCTCTAGAACGCTAGAGCAAAACTGAAAATCACAAATATTTTTTTAACTCAGATTACAACATAGTGTGGTTTTCAAATTAAGCCATTTCTATGTTAAATTATTTGGCAACTGGATCTCTATGATAAGTAAAGAGACTCTCTGAATGTGTTCTTTTTGGTTTAAAAAAATAATTAATTTTTTGTTAATTTCTCTCTAGGAGTGTTTTGTGTTAAGAATTCCTACTCGTGGGGCACCTGGGTGGCTTAGTCGGTTGAGTGTCCAACTTCAGCTCAGGTCGTTATCTCACAGTCTGTGAGTTCGAGCCCTGCGTCGCTCTGTGCTGATGGCTCAGAGCCTGGAGCCTGCTTCAGATTCTGTGTCTCCCTCTCTCTGCCCCTCCCCCACTCATACTCTGTCTCTCTCTCTCTCTCTCTCTGTCAAAAATAAATAAACATTAAAAAAAAAAAAGAATTCCTACTCATCCCCATTTTTGTGAAAGGTGGATATTCCTAAAAATTTAATGAAGACCAGGGCGCCTGGGTGGCGCAGTCGGTTAAGCGTCCGACTTCAGCCAGGTCATGATCTCGCGGTCCGTGAGTTCGAGCCCCGCGTCGGGCTCTGGGCTGATGGCTCGGAGCCTGGAGCCTGCTTCCGATTCTGTGTCTCCCTCTCTCTCTGCCCCTCCCCCATTCATGCTCTGTCTCTCTCTGTCCCAAAAATAAATAAACGTTGAAAAAAAATTAAAAAAAAAAAATTTAATGAAGACCTGCCTGCCCATAAACCATGTCAAATCACAACTTTTTCTTATTATATTCAGCTGAGGAAACAGAAATGTTTTTAAACAATGAACTTGATAACACAGAAATACACTTCAAAATTTGGGTGGAGGTACGTAGAGAGACAGGATGGTGAATACATGGGAAAATAAAAGAGGGAAAGAAGGAAAGCCTTGCCCACTGCCTTCCAACAGGGAAATGAATGTAATGGGACAGTGAGAGCTTCAGGGCTTCCAGTAGCAAGAGAGACACCCTTCCCTCCCTGACACTCCCACCTCCCAGCTTCCAAGATGCTGTGCCCTTTGACTTCCCAGCTCTTCACACTTGGCTTCTGCCCTTTTCACCATCCCTGGGGCTCAGTTCTTAGCATTCGGCTGTGGTTCCTTTGCAAGGCTCTTCCTTCACTGTGGTGCTGGTCTCCCACTAATCCATTCTGATATCCAGAAATGTCCATCTCACCCCAAATCACCCTAAGACCAGCACATGTACACAGGCTTTCAGACCACTTTCCTTGAGATGCCCTGCCATCACTGGAACATAAATGAATAAATGTGATCAAGCACCTACTATGTGCAAGCCACCGCAGGGGATGCATTTTAATCTTTTTTCCATCATCAGAGTTAATTGGAGGAAAGGCAGAACAATATTGGCTCACAGAGAGGGAGCTGGAAGTGGACCCCACCTGGGCAGAGCACATGTGCATGGGACCCATTTACTGCTTTCATCACTTGCCTTCGTGGGACTGAGCCACATCTGGATCCCATTACAATTATGAAAGGTGCAGGCTTCATGCTTGCTCCAAAGCCCAGCTCTGATTTCACAACCAGCCTGGAGAAGCAGGAGGCAAGTAAATACTTCCTGTTCCATTTGTAATCAACATGCACTTGACATCAATAAACCAGGATAATTACATTATCATTATCATTACCATCATTATTATTGGCCACAATCGAAGAGACATTAATAGGGGTTTCTGCAGGATCCTCTTGGGACGGATGGGACTAACACTGGAGTAGGAGGGTGGAGGAGGATGCCATTTGTCGCTTTCCTTAGCCAAGCAGATGAGGCAACTCTTAAAATGCTCTCAAAAGACATAAAGATATGGGGCGCCTAGGTGGCGCAGTCGGTTGGGCGTCCGACTTCAGCCAGGTCACGATCTCGCTGTCCGTGAGTTCGGGCCCCGCGTCGGGCTCTGGGCTGATGGCTCAGAGCCTGGAGCCTGCTTCCGATTCTGTGTCTCCCTCTCTCTCTGCCCCTCCCCCGTTCATGCTCTGTCTCTCTCTGTCCCAAAAATAAATAAACGTTGAAAACAAAAATTAAAAAAAAAAAAAAGACATAAAGATTTGATCTCACAGACCAGCAGTTGATTGCCTCCATTGTTTCTTCCACACAAAATGACAAGGTCTCCAGGCCTTGAATATTTTCTGGAACCCCAGAACATTGGAAGAGGAGGGATTTTTAAAGATAGTCAAGACTAGCCTCTTCTTCTCTCTTTCTTTTTTCTTTTATTGTTTTATTTTTGCTGTTGAGGAAATGTAGACCAAGGGACTTGATAGCACATTAGTCTGTAGAACTCAAACTAGAACTTCAGCTTTGGCCTGTCCACTTCCTCCACTGGTTGGGAAGAGCTTAACCGAGCTACCTTCATTCTTATATGTCGGCTTCTTCACCAGAAATTAGACTTTCTAATGGCTCAAGATTCTTCACCGTGGCCCTTAGGCATTCTCTTGTCCATTATCTAATGCAATATAAATATTTGGAAAACAGCCACTTGGCTTCTCCCCTGAAAACAGAACTGCTACAAATGAACTTTACATCAGACTAGCTCTGCTGAAAACCCTCAGGGCAATGTGGCTTGTTAGACGCTGGCAAGAATTGTGGAGAGATTTTTCCTTTTGAAAAATGTCTATGTAGGAGGGGTGTGTGTGTGTGTGTGTATCTTACTTGGATATACTCTTTGTTGGATGGTATCCTATCATCAGATGAAGCCTGAAGGAGTATGGATGATGGTGGAAAGACAAATGGATTATTTTGTGTTATCCATTATTTTGTGTGATATCACATCTATGATCCTGCTGTGTTTTTAGAATTGTTCTTTTGGACAGTGGGTAAGTCACCTTGTCAATGAAACTATCTGGTGGTGACAGATGATAACTAGACTTAACTGTGGTGATCACTTTGCAATGTACACAAATGTCAAGTCACTATGTTGAATACATAAAACTAATTAAATAATGTATGTCAACTATATAGTTCAATAAGAAATTTTTCATTAAATTTTTTTAAATGTTTATTTATTTTTGAGAAAGAGAAAGACAGCGTGACCAGGGAAGGGGCAGAGAGAGACACACACACAGAATCCAAAGCAGGCTCCAGGCTCTGAGTTCTCAACACAAAGCCAGATGCGGAGATCAAACCCATGAACTGTGAGATCATGACCTGAGCTGAAGTCAGACACTTAACCGACTGAGCCACCCAAGTGCCCCAATAAGAAAATTTTTAAATGAAACTACCTGGGACTTTGCAATGTACACAAATGTTGAGTCACTATGTTGTATACATAAAACTAATTGAATACTGTATGTCAATTACACAGTTCAATATAAAATGTTTTTAATGAAACTACCTGGGACATCCATACTCATAAACATGCATGAGCACATGCACACACACACACACATGCACCACCTTTTTTATCTTCATCACTTTCACTATATCATTGGTACAGAAATGTACAAAGAGAAACAAAACCACCCACGCTCATTATACTCATAAGAGTCTCTGGTGTCCTAGTGAATGGGTGGTAATGACTGGATGGAATCGTCCCTGAATGTATCCAAACCCTTGGAGTCTTTGATTAATAAACAAATATTGTTGATTCTAAAGTTATTTTAATTGTGATTAAAAAGAGCAAAATATGATTAATAAACAAGTTTTTACTTACAGCCACCAACTAAGTCACTTCTTTGATGAGCATTTTTAAAAGAAATAAATTATGAGACACCTCTTAGCTTCCATGATCAATCATGTCAAAGTGACCCTTTTCAAGGGCAGCTTTTCTGTTTAGGAAAAGGACAAAGGAGTAGTCCAGGGCGGCTGCTCAAAAGAACTGGCTGGACAAATGCAGAGAGGTGTCCTTTTCCAAATGTGGGCCTCTGGCTCATTTCCTTCAATTTGCTCACCTTTCTTGTATGAAATGACCTGATTTTCCTCAACATCTTGATGATTTATTGTAAATAAGGGTTATTTATAAGAGATCTTCCTGGAGGAATAGCAGAATTATGTAATGGCTTCCCAAGAGGCCAGCTTAGCATTGTAACTCCCCTTCCTCCAATTCAGGGCAGAAACAAGAAAATAAAACCTCATTTAACTGTTTATTCAACCCAAATAAATCTGGCTCCAGGGCCTGCCAAGATTTTACAGTGCCAGAGGCAAGGGGGTGAGAAACCAGAAAGGGAAAGGAGGAAAGAGAATTGTAAGACGTGGGCAAGCGAGGGAAGCAAACAGCTCACACGGCGTGAGCTTCCTGCCTCCACAGACCCTGTTTATGAAATCTGAGCTCCTGCACCCCCGACACATGGAGTCAGGATCCAAAACGGATGGAAAATGAGAAAACTTCAAGCCATTTCCTGACTTCTCTAGTGTGTTCTCACCTTTTACCAGTTGGGCCCCAGACTGGACAGGTGCGAACAACATTTCCTTCACACTGTTCCCCAGTCCTTGTTCCTTGGGGTTCAGAGGGGCTGCATGTTAGAAGGGACCTCAAAAGGTCATCCAGCTGATTCTGCTGCCTCCAGGCAACAATGCCTCACCGCAGTTGAAGATTCCATACTTTGTTTTGGAATATTCCACAACCCCCGTTGTCTGTTTCAAGATTGAACCATCCCATTTTCTTTTCTTTTTGTAATGTTTATTTTTTGAGAGAGAGAGAGAGAGAGAGAGAGAGAGAGAGAGAGAAAGGCAGAAAGAAAGGGAGACACAGAATCTGAAGCAGGCTCCAGGCTCCCGTGCTATCAACACAGAGCCCAACACAGGGCTCAAACTCATGGACCATGAGATCATGACCTGAGCCAAAGTTGGATGCTTAACCGACTGAGCCACCCAGGCGCCCCATGAACCATCCCATTTTCAAAGTGTTTGCTAGTTAGAAGCAAGAGAGAAAGGAGAGCTTTATAAAAAACAAACTTTGGCTTATATTCCTTCCACATGCTTTCCCGTTTATTACCTTCTGTCCTAGGTGACAGGCATGGCAAGTAAGTTATCTTCATTATACTGAGATTGGGGGACAAAACAGTTTGTCTAAAGCACCAAACCTCTTTGCTTCGGTGTCACAGATCACTGATGACTTAGTGGGCCTCATTCCCTTATACCCACTTACAACCAGGTCTGTGGCTCTCAGAAAGATAATCTCTCAGCATCATGAAAGTATTGAGAAAAACATGGAAGGTTGAAATGCAGAAACAGAGAGTGTAGGCAACAAGTTCCAGAATAGCAGCTGTGAAGGAATGCAGATCCTCACAGTAGTTAACAATGTCCAAGAACCAAGACAGGCTCTTTGTTTATTTAATTTTAAGATAGAGGACACCTGACTGTGTTCATGGGGTAAGAGGATGGAGACAGTGAAGAAAGTGAGGTTGAATAAATAAGGGAGAAATGTTTACAAGAAGGAATAAGAGAGCAAAAGCCTGATGGGAATAGGATAGTTTGTGGTACATAACTCGGTTGGAGCAATTAACTGTGGACATCAGAAGGACATCACCTCTTCTGAGATGGATGGGAAAGGGATGAAGGTGTAGGTGCACGAAGACAGAGTGTAGGTAGAAGTGGAGGGGGCTACCTGACAGCAGGGGTCAAAGTCATCTGCTGAGCGAGAGCAGAGGATGTTACTGGGGGGTTGAGAAGTAGTGGGGATTCCTGGTGGCCCTATAGGAAGTGGGAGCATTACCTAGGGGATGAGAAGCTTTGCAGAGCAGCGCGGAAGCCAGTGAAGGAGTGCTGATTTCCACCCAAGGTTGTGTGGGACTTTTGCTAATGTCACTCGGCAGCCTAGGTTTGGGGATGGCGATCTGGGCTGGTTGAGATAACTCAGAGTTGGAGGTTCTCAAGAAGGTGGGCAGAGGAATGAGGTACAGAAGTTAAAGATGCTGGTTAGAAGGATTTGGACTGGAGGAGGCAGAAATAGAGTCAGAGAAGGCTGGGTGACAGCAAAAAAAGCAGGAGGCAGAAAACCAGGTGCCATGAAGGAGTTGAAGAGTCAAAGGACTGGAAGGGAGGATGCTGGGGTCAGACGCTGAGACACTTGGGATTTGAAACCTTAGAAGTGGAGCAGTTCTGGGAGATAACACAGTCTCCACGGTGGCCTCAAAAGTGGGTAGCTAAAGAAGAGTGTAATATGAGACTAACAATATATCCACAGCTTGCTCTTTGGGTAGGGAAACCAGGGCCCTTGCCAGGATCCCACTTGGTGATGGAGGGGTGCACAGTGGCCCACCCCTTATTCTTCTTTTCTGACCATAATTCAAACTCAACATTTCTATCATTAAAGCTATCCCAAAGGTCCTGTGAAAGAAGCTGACAGTTGATACAGCTGCCACAGGTGCTGTGTTCTCAGATCAGCTCTGTCTAGGGAGGTTGACCCAGGCCTCATCCAGCCCTCTTTTCTGACAAAGTCACTGACAAAGATTCTATGCTTGTCCAAACTTTAGTCAGTCTCCTGAACCTTCTCCTAGGCCTATCTGTGCACTTTCTTGTAAAATCCAGTTTTAGCAAGAACTGCTAAAGTCACTTAACCAGGACCCCCTGCCCTGGATATATGATGGGGTTCCACATCCTCCCCTCTCCCCCCAGGGGGTCTGCTCACCCTGGCCTGTCTTCAGCAAGAATCCTGTTAGGTCAGTTGAGTCAGAATCTCTCTATCCCTGATATTTCTTCCCAGCAATTTTCTATCCACTGACTTCCACCCCACTCCTTGGCTATAAATTCCCACTCGCCCATGTCAAATTCAGAATTAAGCCCAGTTCTGTTCCAGGGTCTCTTATCAACCACTGTCATAGTCCTGAATATATATATTCATTTTAGAACTACTTACTGACCAGCTCTGTTTTTAATTTGATAGCACTGAGAGACTTTAAGGAATCTTCTTGATTTCAATCTTGAGAGCTTAGGGGTGTGTATTGAAGAATCATAGCACCTCCTAATAATTCCTTAACTATTACCTGCAAGTTTATCAAAACTCTCTTTAATCCATTTGTGTTTTCAGCATGTACAACACCCCAGGGGTAATGTGTTACATAAATTTATCACTTTCTCTATAAGGTAATTTTTCTTTTACTTGTCCTGAACTTGCCCCTTTCTATCTTTCAAAGATACTGTGTAATTTAAAATTTTGGATTTACACACTTTATAATTTTAGAGATGGTTTCCCCCAGACTTCACCTCTGTAGAGTTGAGCTTTAGTCAGTTTGTCTGTTCACATCCAGTCCCACTACCTTCACATGCCCCTCCTGACAGTGCTGTTAATCAGGTAGTGATGCCTCTTGATTTACATCAGAGCTTTCAAAGCACTCATAACTCATCTTATTTGAGCCCCACTGAAATCCTAAGAGTTAGGAAGAACCTTCTACTCATTGCATAGATCAAAAAGAGGTTGACTTGCCCAAGGACACACTTGACTTTATTCCAAACTCTAGGCTTTCTCCATACCTCAAGCACAACAGCACTACAGTTAGGAGAGTGACTTTTCAGGTTCTAGCTCAAAGCTCCACCCTGTCCTTTTCTATGAACTTAGACAATTTATTCAGTTGCTACAAGTCCAAATAACTTAATCAATAAAACCAGAGTGGATGTTTTTATCCTGAAAGTCTGTTATGTGAATTGAATGAGATTATATCTATGAGTGCTAAGAACAAAATTCCTTGTCCTTTTGCTGAATTATAAGAGACCTTGACATTCATAACTTACAAATATAGTTTGGAAAATTCTTCCATGACTGCGCTACTTAATAGTTTGCCAGGCTTAAGCTCATTTGTATGTTTTCTGTCTGCTCGCATGTCATTGAAACAGCCCAACAACAGCAGAATACACGTTATTTTTAAGTGCACATAGAACATTTACCAAGATAGACTGTATTCTAAGTCATTAATCAAATTTCAATAAATTTAAAAGGATTAGCATCCTACAAAGCTTGTGCTCTGCCTGACCACAGTGAAATTAATGAGAAATAACAAATATCTGGAAAACCCCATATTTGGAAACTAACACATTTCTGAATAAGCCATGGGGTCCACAGATCAAAGAAGAAATTAAGGGGGAAATTAGAAATTAGAAAGTGTTTTGAGCTAAATTAAAATGAAAGCACAGCATATAAAACTTAGCAATATAAATATTGCTAACTCAATATTTAGAAGGAAATATATATGGCAATATTATAAGCTAATAAATATGCTATATCAGAAGGAAGATCTTGAACAAATGACCTAAACTTCCATATGAAGAAACTAGGAGAAAGGGAGCAATGATAATAAAGATAAGAGGAGAAATAAGTGAAACAAAAAAAGAGAAAAACCACAGAGAAAATCAATAAAGACAGAACTTGATTCTTTAATAAAATCAATAAAGTTAATAAATATCTGCCTTGATTGATTAAAAAAATTATAACAAAAATTAAGAATATCAGGAATGAAGGAGGTATCATTGCTGCAGGTCTTAAAGGCACTGAAATGAACAAAAGGAAGATAATCTGAACACATTTATGCCAATATATTTGACAACTTGGATGAAATGGACAAATTCCTTGAAGAACACCAACAACCAAAACTCACTCAAGAAGAAATAGAGAACCTGAAAATCCTTATATATATGCTAAAGAGACAAAGTCTAGAGATATGAACCTTCCCATTGCAGAAACAAAGACCTCAAGGCCCAGATGGATTTACTGCTGATTCTATGAAACATTTAAGGCAGAAATAATATAAATTCTATATAAATTTTTCAAGACAATTGAAGAGAAGGGAAAGGGAACATTTTCCCATTCAGTCTATGAGGCCAGCACTATTCTAATATGAAAACTAGAAAGAAACATTACAAAATTATAAACCAATCTCATGAACATAGATGTAACACCCATAATAAAATTCTAACAGATCAAATCCAAGAATACATAAAAAAAGATAATATACCATTAAAAATGGGGCTTATTCCAGAAATGCAACTTGGTCTAAAATTCAAAAATCAATGCAATTAACCATGTTAACAGAGAAAAAAAGAAAAACTATATAATCACCTCAATGCAAAAAAGAAAAGAAAAGAAGATGCTACTCCATTTCTGATTAACAACAACTCCCAGGACAGTAGGAATAGAAAGTAACTTCCTCCACTTGATAAAGGCCATTTATGACAAAACTAACAGCTAATATCTTAATGGTGAGTGACAGAATGCTTTCCCCTATGATTAGGAACAAGGTGTGTACGTCTGCTTTCAGCACTCCTATTCAAATTGTACTGGAGGTACAATAAAGGAAAAAAATAAATAAAAGGCGTCCAGATAGGAAACTATATTTTAAGAAGACATGATCATTTATTTACAAGATGCTAAGGAAAATTTTTTTAAGTCACGAGAACTAATAAATGAGTTTAGAATATCACTGAAATACATGAAATATTTATGTATAAATCTTACAAAATATGTGTAATATCTGTACGACAAACATACAAAAAACTACAAAACACTGATGGGAAAAATCAAAGGATCTAAATAAATGATGAAATGATAATACCATGTTCAT